TTTACATGAATCTGTATTAAGAAACATTGAAAAGATAAAAAAAAACTATATAAAAATGCTTACGGTGGGCATAGCAGAATGACGTGGATGGACATGGCATGGAAGCATGACTTATCAAAATAGAAGTTTTTATATCATTCTAATTTCTGAATTGTGTAAACGTTAAATATTAGTAATTTAAAAATCTGGATTTTACCTTTGCTACTTGAGGTCTTCCAAAACATGCAGCATAATGTAATGATGATGACCTCTGACCTCTATTAACATCAGCACCTCTCTCACAAAGAAATTCTACCTATAAAATGATAAAGAATCATAAAGTTGCTTTAATAATATTTCTATTTTTGCTTCAAATATCAATTTTTATATGTTAGCTTACCATTTCCTGAGTTCCAAAAGCAGAGGCCCAATTTAATAGAGTCTGGCCTACATCATCCATAAAATTTACTTCAAAGGCTGAAAGTTTGAAGGAAAAAAAAAAAAACTTACTTTTTTTAAGCCAATAAAATAATACTGAACTTTTCTAAAGTCTGAACCATTTAAAAAGATTGTTATTAATAACCAATTAAATACAGAGCCAAGAGATTGTCTTACGTATTTAGGTCAACTATAAAGTAGTAAATAATCAGCAAACCTAAGGTCAGCTAAGGAAAATTCTAAAATTTTAAATCACTGAGGATTCACAAGTCTTTAAGCCTTAAAAATAAACATGAAATAAGAAAGGACAAAAACAAAACACAGTACGTAATACAACAAGGTACTAGTTGTATCATAACATAATTGTGGAAAAGAAGTTAATCCACATGTATAACAAAGAACACAAAAGAAAAAATTTGATGACCCAGAAACATCTTTCAGGAATTTATATTTGCTCATCACCTCATGCAGCAGTTTAAAATAATCTACTATTATTATAATTCACTCATGGCAGTTTCCACCAATCTTAAGAAAATAACAGCCCTAAATTCAATCTGCAATTCACCTTAGAATTGACAGGATCTCCTTCAATGATAAAACAGGGAAATTTTAAACTTCATGTAAGTTTTACTCACTCAACAAGTATTTATTCAGATCTTACCATGCACCAGGTTGATAATTACGCAATTATACATACGAAAAGGGGAGAATACTGAAGGGGTTGGCCATTCTGTTATCTGGCACAATCAACTGCTAAGAAAATTGTCCAAAAACTAGACATCAGAAATTATCTATAGAATTCCTTTTCTCCATTTTCTTTTTATACTTTAAAAATATTTTCTGACCTCCTGTGTCAATTGCATCTATAAGTGCATCAGTATCTTTACTTCGAATACAGTCTATAAGTTGCCGATGTGAGCGCTCCCCAGAACTATCCAATCTCCGGAGTCCTGGGATTCTGCCTGTAGATCCGGCACTAGACTTTGGCAAAGCTTTTCGTCCTTCAAATAATAGCACCAAGAGAAGGTCAACCAAACGCATGGTATCAAGTACACATCTTTCATCACCCTGCAATGCACTCTCAATTGAGTCTGGAAGCTCTGACCTCAGGAGATCCTAGAAAGAGAATGGAAAGAAAAAAGTTTAATATATTGGCACCATTAAAGAAACACTTTTTCTGAAAGATTAAAAAGCAAAGATTCAAAAACATTCTTACGTGTGTTACTACTGGAGAACCTCTGCAAAGTGTTGAGAGCAGACTTACAATTGTTGACACCTGATTACTTAATTTGGAATCTGCAGTTGTAGAAGGAGCTCCCGTGGTGCTGCGACCTGGTTTACATGCTGATGACGGTCCTGATACAGTACCACCAGCAGCAGCCATTCGCGATAATAGCTCCTCAGTTAATCCATGCTTGGCTAATGGAGCTGGGTCAACACCACGACGGGTAAATCGGTCAGCTAGAGATGCAAAGCATCGCAGAGCTCCATCTGAAACCTAATGATATAAAGAATATGCACATAGATAAAATTCACCTAAAAAGGGCTAGTACTGATCATTTCGATATTGGCACTGTAAGAAAGACAGGTGTAGGAAAGTGATGAAGCATATAATCTGCTGAGATCTAAATCATAGCTCTATATTCTGCTAACTGTATAACAAAAGGAAGTTATCTAACTGCTTAAGGCCTAAGTTTCCTCCTTCGTAAAAGGAGAATAATGGTACCTATATCTCATTATGTAAGCTTAAATGAGACAATACATATAAAGAATCATAAAAGCTCAAAAAAATAACTATTATTATTTATGTATAACTTTGCCAAGATACTCTACAAATATCAACTGAAAATGTCTGAATAGTAGAAAGGCATTAAAAATCACGTTGTATTTTCTAATATATGCTAACTCAACAAAAGAAAAAAAGTTACACAGAAGATTATAAATACTGTGTTTTTTTTATTTTCATGAGATCTAGCTTAAGTCAACAAAATTAGGTCAACAAAATTGCACTGAGTGAACAAAATTACACCGAGTGCAAGTGTAGCTGTAAAAATGATTATATATTTCTATAACATTTTAAATTAAGAACACATATCACTTTTATAATTTAAAAAGTTTTGTTATAAAAAAAGATTACAATTTAGAGAGATAAAATAAGAGAAAAAGAAAATGGAATTACCTCTACTTCGTCAAATGGAAAGTTCAAATTACAATGTATCATAGTTATAAATAGGGGATTACTACTAAAAAATCACATTTTGGAAACTGGAAGTATACAATAGCAACTTATTTACCTGATGATCTTCATGTTTTAATAAACTAGACAGAGATTCTACACAAATTTCTAAAGAAGAATCTTGAGGTTCCATTTTGCCACAAAGTCTTGACACCACAGCCATGGCGGAGTGCAAGGTATCTTTATGAACCAGGTGTCCACTGTCACGAATGAAGGTAAGCACACAATTCAAACCACCAGCCTCAAAGACTGCTCCTGACTCACGAGTGCATATCAGTTCTAATACCTACAATAGTAAAACAAAATTAACAAAAGAATGTAAGTTTAATTTTCTAGACTCACCGGAAACATAATGGCACTTTCCAAATTTATTAGTAGACACATTAAAGACAGTAAAGTAAAACAAATAAAATTAGTTTTACTTTTTTTTTTTCTTTTTCTTTTTTTTATTCAGTCCCCGTAGGGACCGTCAATAATTGCCAGTGCCGACTATATTGCAAGTCGTCATGGCGGGGTATTGGGAAAAGTTTTCAATTAGCAATAATCGCAGCTTGGATAAACCTCATTGGCTACGATACTGCCACTGAGCAAAGCTAAAATTAGTTTTAATAATATATTTTATTTAACCCAGTATGTCCAAGGTATCACTTCAACATGTAATCAATATAAAAAATTACTGATAGATTTTACATTCTTTCATGTATTGTCTTAAAAATCATATGTATATTTTATACTTACAAGGCATCTCAATTTGGAGTAGCCACATTTGAAATGCTAAGCAGATATGGCTACCATATTGGACAGTGCATTTATTTACTTAATTTTAAGAGACAGGGTCTTGCTCTGTCACCCAGGCTGGAGGGCAGTGGCTCAGTAACAGCTCTCTACAGCCTCCAACTCCTGGGCTCAAGTGATCCTCCCACCTCAGCTTCCTAAGTAACCGGGACCACAGGCGCATACCACCATGCCTGGCTAAAGACAGTGCAGGTTTAGATCACAGCAAGCTAAGGAACTACAAGAAATTTAGCAAAAGCTTGTAAGCTCCTAGACCTTAAAAAAAAGGTAGGTAAATGCTAGCCACTACTATCATTCACCATCCTCATATTCAATCTATGAATATCAAAACATTAAAAATGAACTTTTATTTCTAAATTATGTTGATGTTTAAGATATTGAGGTACAACAAAAGGGTTAACAGGATTCACTGATCTTGCAGGCATACCAGAAATTTAAACTTTATCATGTCAGCAAGAAAAATGTCTTAAGTAGGGAAATAATATAATCAAATTTCCAGTTAACAACAGTGTAAAGAACAGGGTACAGGGAGAGTTTGCAGCCAAATGCAAAAATTCAAGCATAATATTTAAGAGAAGATGAAGGCTTGACTAAGACAGTAACAGCAGAGACAAACAGGAGGAAATAAACTAAAAAAGGAGTTGTTCATCAAACTCTATGTGTGGAGTAGAAGAAAGGAAATAAAGAATAAAGCACAGGTTTCTGTCTTCAGTGACTAGGCAGAAGTTGATACCAATTATCGAAACAGGAGTTTAACTGTAGCTAAAGAAAATGAGTTCAGACATCCAATTAGAGATGTCCAGCAAGCCTCTGAATATGGAGTCTAGAACTTGAGAGACCAGGGCTAGATATATCAATGTGAGGAAAATTTGCATAAAAATGGTACTGAAGAGGCCGGGCGGTGGCTCACGCCTGTAATCCTAGCTCTCTGGGAGGCCGAGGCGGGCGGATTATTTGAGCTCAGGAGTTGGAGACCAGCCTGAGCAAGAGCGAGACCCCAGTCTCTACTAAAAATAGAAAGAAATTAATTGGACAACTAAAAATATACATAGAAAAAACTAGCCAGGCATGGTGGCGCATGCCTGTAGTCCCAGCTACTCAGGAGGCTGAGGCAGGAGGATCGCTGGGGCCCAGGAGTTTGAGGTTGCTGTGAGCTAAGATGACGCCACAGCACTTTAGCCCGGGCAACACAGTGAGACTCTGTTTCAAAAAAAAAAAAAATGGTACTGAAGGTACAGATGAGATTGTCTAGGCAAAATACACCTAGTATTAAGAAGGTAAAAACAGACCCTTAGAAAATACTATCATTTCAGAATGAATTAAGAAGGAAAGGAAAACAAGGAAACAATGAAAGCAAGAAAGAGACCAAGGTGTGACAATATCTAAAGAAAATGGTTTCAAAAAGAATGAAATGGTCAACAATGTCCAACACCACTGGGATCAAGTAAGGGCTGCACAGAGTACACAAACTTTAATAACAAGGATGTCACTGATAACCATTTCCCCATCAGCTTCAGGGAGAATGATACAAGCATAAACCTGATTTTAGTGGGCTGAAGAGTGATTAAGTATAAACCTTTTAGTACTCTTTCTAATAGACTGGCTGTGAACAGGAAGACAGCTGAAGCAAAATCCACAGCCAAAGAGGGATCTTTGATTTTGTTTTGTTTTTTAATAAATGGCAGATCATCAATAATAAAACAATTAGACATTATATGCTTTCTGATGTGATGCAATAAGAACTATGCAACATCTTGTATGTAGTACCTTGCAAATAAAGTTTTCAAACTAAAATTAACCACAAACAATCAAACAAATCTACAATGTGGGACATTTTATAAGATAACTGGCCTGGACTCTACAAAAAAGGTCAGTGTCATAGAAAAAAAAGAGAGAGAAGAGAGGACCATTCTACATTAAAGAAGAATAAAAACCAAATGCAATGTGCAAACTTTGGATCTTGATTTTCTTAAGCCACAAAAGACACGTTGGGGACCACTGGACCTATAAACTGCATATTGTATTCTTACTGAATCACTGTTAATCTTCATAAGTGAAATAATGGTGTTATGGTTTGGTAGAATGTCCTTGTTTTTAGGAGATACATTCTAAAATATTTAAGGATAATGTGTCCTGATGACTGGAACTTATTTTCAAAGGTTCAGTGCCAAAAAAAAAAAAAAAAACAGGGATGGAAGAAAGAAAGGAAGAGGGAGAAAAGAATAGAAGGGGGTGGAGAGAGAAAGAGAATATAAAGCAAAGTGGCAAAATGTTAACAAGTGGCAAATCTAGGTGGATATAAGGTGTTAATTGTACCAATCTTTCAAGCATAGGTTTGAAAATTATGAAAATAAAAAGCTGGAGAAACAAAAACACCACAAAAAAAGAGATAGCCCAAGACTCCAGCATGTTTATAGGCTGAGAATAAGGAGCCAGATAAGAAAGAATTTAAAAATATAGGTCAGTGAATAAGCAATGGAGTAAATCCCAGACCTGGAAGAAACATAGAAGTTATGTGATCAAGAAAGTAAGGGATGCAGGGGGAAAGCCTTGAACATGAAAATGGATACCTCTTCCTCTGAGGCTACAGACACAACAGAAATAAATCTACAGGTGTAGAAATGCAGGGGTAGAAATTTCTCAAAGTGTGGTCTAGGGATCCCAAGTTCCTAAGATATTTTCAAGGAGCTCTGAAGTTAAATTTGTTTCACAACAATAGTATAACACTGTTTGTCTTCTTCGGTCTCATTCTCTCATGAGTATAGGGTAGTGTTTTCCAGGAACTACGTGAAGTGTGATGTTGCACTAGACTAAATGCAGAAGCAGATATGAGGATCCAGAAGTCTACTATTAAGCCAAAGTGCTTTTTGTTTGTTTGTTTTTGAGATACAGTCTGATCTGTCACCCTGGCTGAAGTACAGTGGCATCCTCATAGCTCACTGCAACCTCAAACTCCTGGGCTCAAGTAATCCTCCTGCCTCAACCTCCCAAGTACCTGGGACTACAGGCACACACCACCATGTCCAGCTAATTTTTCTGGTTTTTGTAGAGACAGGGTCTCGCTCTTGCTCAGGCTGGTGTCAAACTGAGCTCAAGCAATCTTCCTTCCCACCTTGGCTAGGATTACAGGAGTAATCCTAAATAGAAATGAGATATTAACAGCACCTACCTCATATAGAGTTGTCCTGAAGATTAACTGAGTTGACAACTTAAAGTGCTTAGAGTGCTAGGATTACAGGCATCAGCCATCCCACCCAGCCTGAGTTTGTTATTTTAAGATAAATATTTTAAATTTCTCAGTTGTAATATCTAACTTAATACATATAAATAGATATAGCCTACATAAACACAGGCTCTTTGGGGATCCTCAAACATTTTAAACTTGCAAAAGGATCTTGAGAGAAAAAATTTTGAGAACTGTTAACCTAAGGCAGCAAGAATTATAAAAAGAATAAAGCAGGAATTATAAAAAAGAGAATCATGTAACATTCTAAATATGTTCACCAATAGTTCCAATAAATTACTGACATAGTAGTAATGCCTTTAGAGTTGCATAAAATTTATAACTAGGCCCATAAGGAATAAAAGACAATAGCTTACTCTAAAGGAAGTACAGCAAAATAGTTAAATCCATAAGCCATAGGATCAGACTTCCTAAATCTTCAAATTCCTAAACTTCAAATCTTGGCTCTGCCACTCACTACTCCCAAGCACATTACTTAACCTCAGTATACTTGAATTTTTTTCATCTGTGAAATAGAATGATGATATTAATGGCACCCACCTCATACAGAGTTGTCATGAAGATTAATTGTGTCAATACACTTAAAGTGCTTAGAATAATGCCTAGTACTGGTGGTTAGTGTTAGCTGTCGTGGTGGTGGTGGTTATTACTATTTTCATACAAAACCATTTTGGGTAAGAATAGGGATAACCTATATCAAAATGTTAGTGGCTACCAGAAACTGAAGCACACTGAAGCAGCACAGAAGAGCATATCAATGACCTACACTTTTCCTTCAGAGACAAAATTTCTTTTCCCAAACCCCATGTGACCTCCACTGATGTCACAAGAGCTGTGATTTCCACTGTTCTCAACCACTCTCAATAAAGTAAGACTGATGATAAGAAAGAATTTTATGTTTTTAGTAAAATATATTTTTTATTCTCTAAGTGATGTTTAAATGGGTCAATAAAGAATACTTACCTTTACACATTGTTCAGCTAAGTCTCTGCTAGTTCTGTTGTTAAGTTCAACTACAACCAAACGATTACAAAGTGCTTTTATAGCTCCATCTACCCCAACAATCCTTCGGGTACACTCTGCAGATACATCCAGGTAGTATGTTATGGCACGGGCTGTCACCTCTAACACATTGTCTGGAGCACTTTCATCAAGAAAAATTTTGCAGAGGGCTGGTAAGAAAGTGCGAGGAGGACATCTGCAGTGAAAGAAATCACATTACGCTTAGGACTACTGAATTATTAACATCAAAATATTAATAAAATTAATAGATAATAAAAAGCTATAACATAACACATTGTGCTCAATATACTGTGTCTAAATGTTTATTAGGTTATATTTCTCACATTGTTTTTGTTTCCATAAAAATACTCACATGCTGATGATTTCTTCACTGCTGAAAATACCAAGTTGGAAACCATTTAAAGTAGCAGCATGAAAACATGTTAAAAAAAATTCTTATCCAATACTTACTCAAACACCAACTACTCTGTAAAACCTTTCCTAACCCCCCAGTTAAGTGGTACTTTCATATTCCTAAAACCTCATAAAAGCAGTGCATATACTGTTTAATGTATCACTTTATTTCCTTATTTACAAAAGAGTCCCTAAAGGTCAGGAACATTGTTCAATTCATGTTTTCCAGGGAAAAGCGCTAATTTGGAGTTTAAAAGACCAGGGTAAAACAGAACAGCAGCTGTGTGACCTTTCTGAAGTCTACTTCCTAATTTGTAAAGCAAACACAATATCTAAACAATATCTACTTTGTACAGTTATGAAGATTAAATGAAATAATATACATTAAAAACTTAGCTTAGGCCGGGCACAGTGGCTCATGCCTGTAATGCCAACATTTTAGGAGGCTGAAGTGGGAGAACTGCTTGAGACCAGGAGTTTAAGACCAGCCTGGGCAACTGTGAGATGCTGTCACTACAAAAAAAATTTAGAAATTATCTGAGCATGGTGGCACGCGCCTGTAGTCCCAACTACTTAGGAGGCTGAGGCAGAAGGATCACTTGGGTCCAGGAGTTTGAGGTTGCAGTAAGCTGTGACAGGGCCACCACACTCCAGCCTGTGAGACAGAGCAAGACCCTGTCTCTTTAAAAAACAAAAAAAACAAAAAAAAAACAAAAACCTTAACCCAGTACCTGGTACTATAATAAACTGACTTTAGCTCCCATTCTCTTCCTTCAATAGTCTAATGCCTATTACATAAATCTGCAAAAGACAATATTATCAAAAACAGAATTTGTGATACTGTTTTTATACTCCCTATGTTTTATCAACACTTAAAATACTAAAGACCACAATTTACGTTTAGTAGGAATCTCAGCCATGTGACATCAAATACATTTTCTAACTTCTCTGCACAGACCACTATACTATAGCTACAGATGACATAAAAAGCAATACTCTTGACATTTTAGTGGAATTATTTATCCTCCAATTTTTAATATGTGCAAATGAGTACCTCCCATACTTTTAGTAGGTTTAAAAAGATACCTATATGAATGTCAAAGTATCTCTACTTTTTTTTTTTTTTTTTTTAATCTCTGTCGCCCAGGCTAGAGTACCATGGTAACTGCCTAGCTCACTGCAATCTCAAACTCCTGGGCTCAAGAGATCCTCCTGCCTCAGCCTTCCAGGTAGCTGGGACTACAGGGCTGCGTCACCACACCTGGCTAATTTTTTCTATTTTTAGTAGACAGGGTGTTGTTCTTGCTCAGGCTGGTCTAGAACTCCTGAGCTCAAGGGATCCTCCCACCTCAGCCTCCCACAGTGCTAGGATTACAGGCATGAGCCACTGTGCCACAGCCTGGCCTTAACTCTAATTTTTAATATCTGCTTACATGATTCTTAACTTAAAGGGTTCAGCAGAAGATTTTAGAAGACCTCTTTCATTCAACAGCTGAGCAATCATTGATTAAACTCAAGTGGTTTTTTATTAGCCAGCAACACTGGCAACCTATGACATGTAGACACTTGTAATTTTTCTAAGTCAGGAATTAAATGCTTTGAGGCAAGGTTACAAGAGCCCAGTCCCCTAGTTCTCAGGTAAGATCAGAAGACTGCCTATCCTATCATAATCTTAAGTATTATTGCTCTCTACATATGCATATGTAGTAAATGGAACAGGTAAGAAGAGACTGTGAAAGTGTTAATACTACAGGGAAACAACACAGTTTAAAAAAGTAGTGTTTTTTTTTTCTTTAGAAAACAGTAGCTTGTAAATAAAGAATAAAATGGTGAAGCTGATAGTCCTCATATCAAATGATAAGAATAGATTTACCACATGCTTTATATTAAAAATAAAATTCCTCTATTTATCCAGTGTAAAAACTGCACATAAAAAATAAATAAAATTTAAGAGAAATGTTTGTATAAACTTTCTACACCTTCATGGGGGAATACAGCATTTACTAATTTGGGGAATAATGATAGGACCTGCTGTGTTCTCCAAAATGTGAAGAATTTCCTGCAAGTACAGTTAAAGAGCCAGTTTAAAACAACAAAACCCAGAAAGCTCTAACCGCCATAAGGTCTCAGAGTTTAACTGTGATCAGTTTTATTCCTAAGAAGCATCTGCTGTACTTTTGGCTATGGGACAGGGAAAAAAAATATTCGAGAATATTTTACAATAAATGGTATATATAACTCTGGCATGAAGAAAGTTCACCTATATATTGCCTTAATAATATATGTAAAATAACTAATTTTTGCGTTTACGTTTCAAAGAGAATAAACAAATGTCTTCTCACATTCCTATTTAAACTAGTTATGTGATAATGATGTCACCATATTTTGTGTGATATATATTAGCAAAAAGGAAGGTTTACATAAATTATAAATCTTAAAAAGGTAACTCACAGTTAATGTACTTAGATACCTTTCACTTTAACAATACTTACATAATAGAGTTAATTTGCTCCATTTATTCTGCTCTAAATTCAGTTGTTTATAAATCAAGTTTTTAAATAAAGAACATTTTTCTTAACAGATTTAAGTATATATGTTTCCTCTTTATCTATTAATTTTTATTATGATGAACTAGCACAGCAAATAAATTTCCAATACATGAAATTATGGTATATGGAACTCAAGATAGGTCAAAATGATCTGAGGTGAACAATGTAACTCTAATACAGATAATTCATTCTTCAGAAAAGAGAAAATCTCATTAAGTCATAGGAGTGTCTTATAATTCAAGAAATATTCCGGTAATTTTATATCATCACTAGTCAACCTGAAACTCATGGGAGGGGAACTCATTAGAATCCTTGAAATGATAAAACTTTTTTTTATTTTAATAGATTTAGGGAGTACAAGTTAAATTGTGTTACATATATCATGTAGTGGTTAAAGTCTGGGAGAAATGATAAAACTTTAAGTGGTTATAAAGACACAATATTCTGGTGAAAATAGATGTAATCATCATTTTATACACAATTCTAAGATTCTTTACAAAAAAAACAAACCGTTAAAGCACTATTTAAAATTACTAATAGTCCTCAATTAAAATACAGGTTAACTGTATTTGTTCAGAACTAAAAAGCCAATTACAAAATCTCAACAATACACACTAACCATAAAGTGAGCAAAGAGGTAGTGAATAAAACGTTAATATTAATTAATGAATTCTAAAAAGTACAGAATAGTTGAGAGAACTATATTACTTAAAAGTTCACATTGCGACTAATTATTGCAACAAATTACAAGCGTTGTTTACTAGTAGATACTCTGCTAGATATCCTGCTTTAATACAGCCATTGTAATACACACATAAGACTTTAAAAATGACTCTTCTGTTGTTGGTTAGGGAGTTTCATCACTTTCTTTCTCACTCATTCCCTTAGTTTGTAAAACGTGGATATAAAACGCATACACGTACCATGAAAACGCCCAAAGTATTTTCTCCACCCTAGACGAACTATTGCTATCTCTGTTTAGAAATATCACTGGCATCTTAAAATGAGTATATTCAAAACAAAATTCCTAATCTGTACTTCCACTCCCAAATCTCCATTATAGTAAATGTCAGCCATCCACAAAGCCAGAAACCTGGGAATCATCCTTGATTTTTCCCCATATTCCACCACATTACACATCCAAGCCATCACTTACCAATTAATTAGCCATCACTACCAATTAAGCTCTCCAAAACAGATCCTAAATCTGTCTACTTCTCTCCACATCCTCTTCTATAACCCTGACCTAAACCAACATCAAAGTCTTGTTTGGACTACTGAAAGAACCCCTTAAACATTTAGATAAGAGATATGGCTAGCAAGGTATCTAGAGGGAAGAAAGGGGGTTATTCTGGTATAGGATGTCAGAGCATGAGCAAGGTAAAGAGGGCATCTGTGCAGGCGAATGTCCAGTGATGGGCAACTGATACATACAGGAGAATGGATCAAATAAATTAATTAATTAATTGAGGATAATGGGAGCCAGGTTTCTCACTGCAGGAAAAGAGAGTTACATATAGAAAGAGAGAAAACTAGCATGCAACCTGTGGTGTTAGATTATAACCGGAGGTATTGGTATGAACTCATGGTTTTCAAAATATAGAGATAGGTAGAAAAATAAATACAGATGCTAATGTGTGTGTTGTTCTCACTGCCTAAAATCCTTTTCCCCCAACTCTTCCCACAGCTGGCTCTTTGTCATCCTTCTCTTGTCTCAGCCTAAGTGTCACCTCAGACTTTTAAAAGGCGAAAGATTTATACGATCTGAAGAAAAACCAGAGTATACACCTCAGACTTTTAGACTTAACTTCCCTACCCAAAATAGGACTGTTTTTTTGTTTTAACTTACTTTATAATTTATATTTATATTTAATTAATACTTCTTGTCATCCATTGTAACTCTCTCCTAAAAACCTATAAACTCCTCAGCAGCGAGGATTTATTTCATACAGTACCTAGCAGGGTTCCCTACACAGAGGAAACATAAGCATGTTGAGAGTTTTACATGTTGAATGAATGGTATCAAGAAAAAAATTAGGCCAAGGCGAGAAACTGTTTCAGCTCAGGAGTAAGAGACCAGCCTGAGCAAGAGCAAGACCCTGTCTCTACCAAAAATAGAAAAATTATCCAGGTGTCCTAGTACACACCTGTAGTCCCTGCTACTAGGGAGGCTGAGGCAGGAGGATCTGAGCCCAGGAGTTTGAGGTTGCTGTGAGCTGACGCCACGGCACTC